ATATGTACAGTGGTTTGAGTCCCACCTGCTCCACTTGCAATTCAGCTCCCTATTAATGCACCTAGGAAAGCAAAAAGATAGCCCAAGTGTTCAGCCCCTGCACATGCAGGAGATCTAGTCATGGCTGTTGTGACCATTAGGGAGTAAATCCTCCCTTCTATTCATCCCCCCCCCCCCGTAATTATGCTTTTCAAATACATAAATAAATAAATTTTCTTAGTAAGGCTTGCGAGAAAGGCCCTAAACACACTCTAGGATTGAATAATGATAAAAATTCTGACAGTGGTAGTTTGAGTAACAAAAACCACAGCTGCCCAATGTCTTTAAAAACCAGTTTGTGGGGTCTGGCTCAGTAGCCTGGCAGCTGAAGTCCTTGCCTTTCATGCGCCGTGATCCTATATAGGCGCCAGTTTGTATCCTGGCCACCTCCCTTCCCCCCAGCGCCCTGCTTGTGGCCTGGGAAGGCAATAGATGTTGTTCCAAAGCCTTGGGATCCTGTACCCAAGTGCAAGACCTGGATGAAGCTCCTGGATTCTAACCTCAGGTTGCCTATGACACTGGCATCCCATATGGGCATTTGTGCCAATCTCAGCTGCCCCACTTCCAATCTGGCTCTTTGCTAATATGTCTTTACTTTGATTGTCTCTACACTAACTCTATGACAGGGTTACAGATTTACAACATCCCACTGAGAACAAAAACAGATACAAAACCAATGAAAGACAGGCTGACCACCATCTTTCCAAGCTGACATGGCAGTGAACTGTGAGGTAGCCACCATGGACTCAGCAGAGACACAGGCTCCACCCCCCCCCCCAATCCATCCACCTCTCCACACAGTGTCCCATGAGGAACACTAATGACAGGCCTAATGACCTGTTCCATGAAGCGTAACTGCCAATCTACCAAAGAGCCAGCTAAATCGGGTCATAAAAGAGAAGCAAATTTAACACCCAGAGAAGTACCTATTTAAAAGCTTTAGCTGATTATTGTAATGGGGGAAACTATATTAGGTCTACTGTTCCTTAAAATATGACAATAACAACATTTTATTTTTCTAATATTGCTTAACCAGTGACACCAAGCTGAGAACTCTGGTCTCAACCCTACACACTTCCTATGTGATGTTGTCTCATTTGTCAACCTCACCACGTCTTCCATGCCAGCAGTTCCCAACTCCTGCCTGCAGTCCCCACACCCTGCTCCACACTTTCCTGGAAATTCTTCTCTGGGTGACTTACCAGCTCCTCCCAACCTGAACTCTTTAAACATGAACCTCCTGCTGTGCTCCTCCAATCCTTTTTATGGCACAATATCCAGTCCCCAGAGTTCTTTCCTCATTCATTCCCCAGTATTTTTAATGCCACAATGAGCCAGGCATTAGGCCAGGAGCTGGGGCACACAGGAGTGATCCAAACAGACGAGGTCCATGGAGTGGACAGTCTCCACTTCTTGCCACACCTGTGGCTGAACACCAAGGACTGCTTTAACACGGGAACATGGAGCTCTGCGATCCTTCACGGTGGCAAGTGGTGAAGAGACTCTACTTTGCCTTTCATTCACAAGGTAAACCACACCAGTCCCTGACACATGGGAAAGTGGCTACCTCTAGAGAGAGCTGTGTGACAGATTTTGACTTCACCTGTGGTCCCAAGAAGACAGTGAGTTGCTATTATGATGAGAAACAATTTTCAGTGGGCAAACCTATTTGACTGGAGGCACTTCCCACCTATGGTATGGTTGTAAGTGCTCTGCTCCTAGGGGTTGGTGCTGTGATGTAGGAAGTGAAGTTATCACCTGCAGCATCCCACACGGGCATTAGTCAAGTTCCAGTTGCTTCACTTTTGATCCAGTTCCATGCTAATGTGCCTGGGAATGCAATGGAGGATGAACGCTGCAATCATGTGGAAAACCCAGAAAAAGCTCTTGGCCCTAATCTGGCCATTGCAGCCATTTAGCATGTGAATCAGTGCATGGAAGACCTCTGTGTCTCTACCTCTCTCTTTATAACTCTGCCTTTCAAATAACTAATAAATCTTGGGCCCGGCACAGTGGCCTAGCAGCAAAGTCATTGCCCTGAACGTGCTGGGATCCCATATGGGCGCCAGTTCTAATCCCGGCGGCTCCACTTCCCATCCAGCTCCCTGCTTGTGGCCTGGGAAAGCAGTTGAGGACAGCCCAACGCTTTGGGATCCTGCACCTGTGTGGGAGACCTGGAGGAAGTTCCTGGCTCCTGGCTCCGGACTGGCACAGCACCGGCCGTTATGCTCACTTGGGAAGTGAATTAGTGAATGGAAGATATTCCTCTCTGTCTCTCCTCCTCTCTATATATCTGACTTTGTAATAAAAATAAAATAAATCTTAAAAAAAGAAGGTTCTTGATTTAAAAACAAAAACCCCAAATAACTAATAAATCTTTACCAAAGAAAATAAAAAGTCATTTCTTAGCAGAATAAGACACCTTGTTTCTGTTTTTAAGAATTATTTACTGGGGCCTGGAGCTGTACCCTAGTGGCTAAAGTCCTCACCTTACATGTGCCAGTTCGTCCCGGCTGCAGGCAGCTGGGACACAAGCTGGCACCCATATAGAATTCTCGCACTTGCAAGGCAAAGACTTAGCCACTGCTTATTTACGTCTTTTTTTTTTTAAGACTTATTTATTTTTTAATTTTTATTTTTGAAATTTATTGTACAATATATACAATGCATATATAATGTATAGTCTGGGATTCCCCTTCCCCTGATTTCCATCCCCCAACTGATTTTTCCCATAATGTCACAACTCTTCATAAGGACTTACAATTCCAACAGTGTGTTATTTAAGTGTGCCCCAACATTGCTGGTACAGACAATGTCAGACAGTCTATTATCCATTCCATTGTCTAGATATATCCAACACTTTCAGCAGGAGTCCATCTTTTGTTTGGAAGTACAGACGCATGCTGCATTGTATCTTCAGATCTGGATATGATACTCTCCATTACTCCACCACTATACATTCCAATCTGCATGATCGATTCCTTACATTACAGAGAACATATGGTATTTCTCTTTCTCTGATTTATTTCACTGAGCATAATGGTCTCTAGTTGGGACCATCTAGTTCCAAATTACATAATTTCCTTCTTTTTAATGGCTGAATAATATTCCATGGAGTAGGGACCATCTAGTTCCAAATTGCATAATTTCTTTCTTTTTAATGGCTGAATAATATTCCATGGAGTAGAGTACCACAGTTTCTTTAGCCACTCCTCTTTGGATCGGCACCTGGCATCTTTCCATGTCTTTGCTATTGTAGATTTTGCTGCTATAATCATAGGGTTACAGATCCCCTTCTCATATGTAGTTTTAATTTCTTTTGGGCATATTCCTAAGAGTGGGACAGCTGGGTCTATTTACTTATTTTAAAAGTAGAATAACACAAAGAATAAGAAGGAAAGATTAAGAGGAGAGGAGAGGAGGGGGGGGAGAGGAAAGGAAGGGAGGGGAGCGGAAGGGAAGAAGAGGAAAAGAGGGGAGGGGAAGGAAGAGGAGGAGAGCGGAGGGGAGGGGAGCAGAGGGAACAGAAGCAGAGGACAGGGGAGGGGAGCGGAGGGGAGTGGAGCAAAGTGAAATCTCCCATCCATTGGGTTAGTCTCCAAATAGTTCAACAACCAGAGCTAAATGAGGCCAACGTTGGGTCAAGAACCTCATCCAGTTTGCCTACATGGGTGCCAAGGGACCCAAGCACTTGAGCTTACCTAGGTGCATCAGCAGGAAGCTCTATTGGAAGCAGAACAGCTGGGGCTCTGATAAACTGATATTGAATGCCAGCACCACAAATGGCACCTTAAAGTTCAGCACTATGTTGAACCCAGCAAAAAACACTCTGGGTCACCTATTTACCTTCCTCCTGGATTTAAGGCAAGATATTTGTTCATTTTTTTTTTTCTTTAAAGAAACAAGGGAGACAGTGAGGGAGAGCGGGGATCCACTCACTGGTTCACTTCCCAAATGCCTGCAACAGCCAGGGCTGGGGGAGGGCCAAAGTCAGATACCCTGACCTGGGTACGCGGGCATCCTAACCAGCATCTAATCCCTAGGTGAAATATCTGCCCAGGGTATGGTATTCTGAGGGTGCCCATCAGTATTCTCTAATTCTCTGTCACATGGCCTTTGGGCACTACTGGAGAGGTTAAACACCTCCCCAGGAACTGGTTTTGTCTAGAGTCTTCCATCTGCATACCTTCTTTCTGCAAACAAGTACACAGAAAACTGCTTACCATTAGGGCTATATACCACACCACCAGCTGTGACTTAGCAATCTTCTGGTTGCTAAATGTGTCATGTAAAATGATCTGGTCTCAGCACAGCCTTTGCCACACTACGCTTTTGCTTTCACTAATGTGCAACAGGGAAATCTGCTACAACATAAAGAACTCACACTTCAAAATATTTTTGAAACAGTCCTATATTGTTGATTTTTGGAATCATTCTTTGTCACTCTTACCAGAAACTGGTTCACTTTCATAGGAGAAGTAGAAATCATTCACTTCCACTTAGTACTCTATAGAATGAAACTGCCACAAATCACAGGAATATTACAAGTGAATAATTACTGAAAACATTTTATATTCATGCCTCAAGCTGTCTCCCAAAGATTTGTTTCTGTGTGTGTAACTACAATCATCTAAACACCACAAAGTTGGTCTCATCACAGATGCAAAAGTTAAAAACCAGCTACCTTGTCCATCAGAGACAGTTCCAGAACAAAGAGACTGTACAATCACATCCATATTATGGGACTGCACTAAGTTAAAACCCTTTTCTCTCATTTCAGGAGTATTTACATAAAACTAAGACATGTACAAATGGCTCACAGTTTTAATCACCTAAACATGAAATTTCTCTATCTTCTGTGGAAGTTAAACACTGATAAGTTTCTCTAATAAATTCAGCTTCTCTAATAAATTCAGTGCATTTTCTAACATAAATAATAAAGGTCACTCTTTCACATTTCATTCAATGTGTATTTCAGACTTTATTAAAGGAGAAAGCTATTTTAGGTGGCTATGTCACAGTATTTGAGCATATTATGGAATCTATATTACACAATTAAATTCATACCAATACTATTATTCTAAGAAAACCCACAGGCACACACAAAACAAAATTTGCTTTTTTATATATAAATTTAAAGTACACTATCCACTTTAAACCACACTAAAAGGTGTATTTTAATAAAACAACCAATTTCTAAACCTTTTAAAGTTTCAAATAAGCCAAGTTCAATCCACTCGAATCTTCTGGTTTGTCATCCTATAAATGATGCTATCATATCCAGGATCCATGTTCCACATATTGTAAGAGGTGACAATCACAGCCAAGGCCAAGGCGATCATGATCCAAAGTATCATGTTGAAAACCACTGGATATTCAAAATTATATTTATATGCAAGGTTGTAGGGAGTTGCTGGGTTCTCTTGTCTTGTCTCCAGGATTGCTCTTGTCTTCCTCACAAGGGCTGTGTCAAATGATTTGACCGTCACTAACTCTACCACAGCATTCCCACCATAAAGATTATACATATCATCTGCAAACTTCTGCAGTGTGTCCACAAGGATCCTGGAAGCGTCTTGGAATTGCTCAGAGTCTTCCCCATAATGTTTCCCAACTTCAGCCAAACCTGCCAGTTCCAGGGAATACAAATCCGGAGAAGGATCCTTGGCTAGATGCTGCTGCTGAGACAACAGACTTGAAATGTCATGCAACATTTGCAGTTCAGAAAGAAAGAGTAGGTCAACTTCATTGTTCCTACTCAGAGAATTGAGGGGAAGAGAACTGAGGATGGAGTTATTGTGTAACAGGCGATTGTGGAGCTGTCCCAACGTTACTGAGAGGTCTTCAAACACTGAGTTTGCCTTCCCCACCATATACACTCTTTCTTCACTGGGAGCCAACTCCAAAACTATAGGAGTTTCTTCTGAAAACAAAGAATGAATGGAATCTGCAAGACTGTCAAGACTAAAAGGTACTGCATTCTCCAATGGGTATGAGATAGCACTGTCCAGAGGCAGAGCAAGTTTGTTCACTCCTTTCACCGTCACTATAACAGTAGCCTGAGGCCGGTGGAACAGGCTACCCACTGCCAGTCCCGGCCAAGAAAGGTCGTCTTCTACAGAGAAGCCCATGGACAGTGCAGCCACATCTGGGATTCGCTCTCCTGGTATCGGCCAGCCTCCGTTGCGGAAAACAACAGACTCTGGTGATCTTAAGACACTAAACTCATTCCCCACGACACCTGCGACCAGCATGGACAGGAGCACGATGAGCACAGTCATGGTGCTGCGGCAGCTGCAGCGGTGCAGAGCAACACAGCAAGCCCACGAGACACGAGTGACCACTGCTGCATGAAGGGGTGACACGCTCCAGTTCGTTCCAACTCTCAGAGCCAGTCCCTTCGTCGCTTCCACGGGGACAGCTCTCCTATATAATTTAGAAATTACTTAAATTTATTTAAATGTTCTTTGGAGACAGACAGGTGGCATAGCACGATAAGCTGCTATTAGGGGCAGCCACATTCCACATAAGAGTAAATGTTTAAGCCCCAGTTACCCCACTTCCAATCCAGATTCCTGTTAATACACATCTTGGGAGGCAGAAGGTGTGAGCTCAAGTGCTTGGGTCCCTGCCACCCATGTGGAAGACCCAGCTAAATTCTGAACACCTGGCTTCTACCTGATCCAGCTGCAGCTGTTGCAGGAATTTGGGTAGTGAACTAGCAGATGGAAGATCTCTCCCTTTGCCTTTTATATAATCTAAGATAAATTAAAAAACAAAAAAATTCTTTGACTAACAATATAAGAATTTAAGCACTGAAGGAAGGAGAAACAAAAAATCATAACTGAAATTAACATGACCAGGAGCAAGCCCAGGGATAGGGAACCAAAATGGCCATTTAATTATGATGGGGAGTGGGGGTGCGATATCTCAGTGGCTAAATCATCACCTCACAAGTACCAGGATCCCAATGGGTACCAGTTCTAATCCTGGCCACTCCTGTTCCCATCCAGCTCCCTGCTTGTGGCCTGGGAAAGCAATAGAGGATGGCCCAAAACCTTTGGGCCCTGTATCCTAGTTCCTGGCTCTTGGCTTCAGATTGGCTCAGCTCTGGCTGCTGCAGCAGCTTGGCGAATGAACCAGTGGAAAGAGGATTTTTCTCTGTTTCTCGTTTCTGTAAATCAGCCTTTGTAATAACAACAACTAAATCTTTAATGAATAAGTAAGATTTAGGGGCAGGCATGTAGTGTAGCACAACTAAGATGCCAATTAGCATACCTGCATCCCACACTGGAGCATCTGCATTCAATCCTTGGCTTCAGCTTCTGAGTCCAGGTTCCTAGTAACTCAGACCCTTGGAGACAGTGGTGATGGCTCACATAGTTGGGGCCCTGAAATCCATATGTGGATCTAGATTGAGTTCCCAGCTTGCAGGCATTAGGGGAGTGAAATCAGAGAATGGGAGTGCTTTTTCTTGCAAATAACTCTTAAAGTGAAGTATACTGACTTATTCTGAACACACCAACAGATAGGGAAGGCTATATAAAATTATTTTCCCCAATGCTCCAAAACAGAAGTTGGGTTCCCTGACACCTTAGTTTGTAGAACGGTCAAGAATTAACAAGAGGTATGACTGTTCTAGCATCCTCCCACTCCCTGACAATCAGAAGATGCCAGACCGGAAAACATCACCTCACATGCTCCCAGAGCCACTGCAGAGGAGCACCCACAGGGATGAAACATGGCCTGGCAAGAGGCACCATAGCTTGCAGAAGCCACTTACACATGAAACATCCTATATTTATTTCAATATACTCTGAGATGCTATCTACTAACCAGCACCAAAGGGACTCTCAGGATCAAAACCACCTGTTGGCAAAAGGTACTGACTCAACAATTAAGTCACTACCTGCTTCCCATTTCAGACTCCCTGGTTCTAATTCTGCCTCCACTTCTGATCCAGCTTCCAGCTAATGTAGCAGGTTATACCTCCAGTATTTTAAGATCTCAATTGAGTTCTAAACTCCTGGCTTTGGTTTGTCCTAGCCCTGGATGTTACGGGCATCTGAGGAGTGAACTAGTATATGGAAGATCTCTATCCTCGTCTCCTTCTGCTTTTCAAATAAAATGAGAACAAACAGAAGTTTACAAAAAATGCCATAAAGCACCAAACAAAATGCAGTTTCTTAAGCAGCATAAAATATGTAAGTCACCTTTTAATTATACACTTAGAAATTCATTATCCAGGTAACTTTATTTCTGCGTGCTTCTCTGTACCTGAGACAGGAAACACTGGTGCTACATAGTCCCTGCCATAGTTTTCCCCACTAACAAACCAAGTCTACTAGACTAAGAAAAGGTGAACTGAAAATCCTCAAAAAGAAGGATTCAACATCACTTCAATATCACTTATTACCAGCGAGAAACTTCTAAAGGTGTTTATTTTTACAATATCCACACATTATAGAAAAAGTATTTTTAAAATTTTTAGTTTTGCTTTTACATTTATTTGATATTTGTGACAAAATTTTATACACAATTTTGTATGCTGAGTTAACACTCCCCACCCCCTTATTTTTTTAAAGGAAGATTTATGAATCTGGCACAATGGCTCCACGACCACCACGTCACCTTGCAAGCACCAGGATCCTACATGAGCACTGATTCAGGTCCCAGCTGCTCCACTGCTTGTGGACAGAAAAAGCAGCTGAGGATGGCCCAAACCCTTGGGACCCTGAACCCATATGGGAGGCCTGGAAGAAGCTCCTGGCTCTTGGCTTTGGATTGGCTCAGCTTTGGCCACTGCAGGCCATTTGAGCAGTGAATCAGCACATGGGAAATCCTTGTTTCTCACTCTCTATAAATCTGATCTTCCTTTCCAATAAAAATAAATAATTCTTAAAAAGGTATGTATATATATATATATATATATATATATGAACATCTGTCGCCATCTTTTCATTTTTCTAAGATTACATGCTTATATTCTTTTTACTTTGTTTTCTGTTGTAAATTATACAGGCTAAGAAATCATAGTCAGGGCCAGCATTGAGGCGTAATGAATAAAGCAATGCCAGTATCCCACATGGGTGCCAGCTCATATTCCAGCTCCTCCACTTCTAATCCAACTCCATGTTAATGGCCTAGGAAAGCAATGGAATGATGACACAAATGCTTGGGTCCCTGACACCCAGATAAGGCTCCTGGGTTTGGCCTGGCTCAGTCCTGGCTGTTGTGGCCATCTGGGGAGTGAAACCGTGGATAAAAGTTCTTTCTCTTTCCCTTTGAAAAAAAAAAAAAAGATTCAGAAAACTATGATTTCCCCAAGGTATCATCTAAGTAAACTATGTGGGAAAAAAAAAAATAAAAGTTTTTGAGTTTAAAGTGATACAGTAATGCCAAGTAGAAATGTTTTGGATTTCTCTATTTTTACAGTTATCTATGCTTATGAGAAATTGAACACTGCCAGTCTGAAAGTAGCACAGCTGTATTAGCCCAGGAAAGAAGACTGCATTCAGTACTCAGCTCCATTTTTTCAAAGCCTTTACTCCTTTTTATTTTTTAAAGATTTATTTTATTTTCATTGGAAAGGCAGATATACAGAGAGGAGGAGAGACAGAGAGGAAGATCTTCCGTCCGATGATTCACTCCCCAAGTGAGCACAATGGCCGGTGCTGTGCCAATCCGAAGCCAGGAGCCTCTTCCGGGTCTCCCACGTGGGTGCAGGGTCCCAAAGCTTTGGGCCATCCTCGACTGCTTTCCCAGGCCACAGGCAGGGAGCTGGAAGGGAAGCGGGGCTTCCGGGATTAGAACCGGCGCCCATATGGGATCCCGGGTGTGCAAGGCGAGGACCTTAACCACTTGCGCCATTGTGCCGGGCCCCAAAGCCTTTACTCTTAATCCTTCACTATAGAGCACAAAACTCAGACAAACAGTTTTTGGGAACAGCTCTGATAGGTGGCGTGGCAGAATGAGCTAGCCTCCCAACAATCCCAAGACTAGCCTGTGTCTCAAACAGGATGCATTTTAGCAATGGCTACACTTAGAACCAACAGTATTTAGGACAGAACTAAACACTACCAAGCCACACTGAGAACCAACAGAGCAGGAACTAAACAACTAATGCTTGGGGCTATGGTGGCAAAGCCAGTTAAGCTGCAGTTTGGAATGCCTGCATCCTATACTGGAGTGCCAGTTCAAGTCCTGTTCCTCTACTTCTGATCCAGCTTCCTCTTAATGAGCCTGCCTCCCTGGGAAGGCAGTGCTTGATTTTTAAAAAAAAAAAAGTGCTTGGTTTTTGCTCTCCATACAGGTGACCTGGATACAGGCTTTGGCCTGGCCCAGCTCTGGCTGTTATAGCTATTTGGGAATACAAGGTCTATTCTCCCTTTTTCTGTCACTCTGCCTTTTAAACAAATAAATCTTAAAAAGAGGACAAGTGCTTAAAGGCAAGGTTCAAGTATATTTAGACAGAAGCCTTTATGTCTTTCTTCTTAATGTTGAATCCTTATTTTCTAATTGTTTAGTCTCATCATCATGAGACAGAAATTTTTCATTTCCTTTGTCTGGAAGAGAAGATACTTCAGTGAGCTCATTCTTGACCTAATCCTAATCCATAAGCGGGCCGTCAGAGTGTGGGGAAGTCTTATCACTTGCAGGTCTGTCTCAGCATCCTATTCTGTGAACTTAAGTGTACTTCAGGTAGTTCTCATTTTCACTTTTTAAAACCCCGACTTCTAATTTTTAAGTAATCTGGACATTTGAACTCAAGTTTACTAGATACCTATTTTGTTTAAAAAAGTATCAGCTTTGTGCGTCAGAAAAATATTTCATTCTATATTTTATAGATTTATTTAGTTATTTGGAATTCAGGTTACAGAAATAGGAGAGACAGAGAGCAAGACAGAGAATGTTCCACCTGCTGGTTCACTCCCCAAATGGCCATGATGGCCAGAGCTGATACTCGATGAATACAGGAGTCAGGAGCTTCATCTGGTATAGGTGCGGGGTGCCAAGAACTTGGGCCATCCTCTTCTGCTCTCCCAGGTGCATTAGGAGGGAGCTGGACTGGAACTGGAACAGTCAGGACTCAAACAAGCACCCAAATGGGATGCTGGTGTAATAGCTCAATCTGCTAGCTCATAATGCCAACCCCTCTATTATATATCATATACAAATTCTCACACACAACAAACTTCCCATTGACTTTTTTTCTAGGAGAAGCAGATTCCCTACTGTAAACACGTACAAATGGGTTCTCAAGCATCAGAAAGATACTTTTTTCTTGCTTCTCAAAGTTAGTAGTCTTCCCAATGTCTCATGCTTTCTAACACTAACCTCTGTGTTTCAGATTCATCAGAAGATAATGCATCCTTATCTAATTTCTTCTCTCATGGTAAAACTACACAATCAGTTCAGTGAAAGCAGATCCTGTGAGCATTACCGGTTTATCTGGTAAAGCTTCCTCATGGCTGACCTTATCAAATACTGTTGAATATTTCATTATAGGACAGATTTGTTATCTTCCACTGACCCAGAAAATGGAGTGGATGTTAAGTAATTATTTGTCAAAGGTTTCACTGACATAGCAACTAAACACTTTGAGAGTTCTCTCTAAGTCCACCTTTCTTCTCTGAGAGTATCTTTCTAGCTGTCCCATCTCACAAAACACAAACAACTCCATGGGACATACTGCTGCCCCATTTAAACAATGTCTTCTGCAACAGCTCAGATTCAGCCTACGTTCAAGGTACCTTCCTGCATCTCATCAAGTTCTATAGACAGCAATTGCTTCCCTGTTCACCGGACCTTGATTTGGGCCTACTTGTCTTACTGCCCTTTAGTTTGACACTAAAGAGGATTTCTACAAAGAATGTGACACTTGTCATAAAGATTTCCTGACAATTTACTTAACGTACTGACATTTCCACCACAGATTACATGACACTTTCGATAACGTCCTATTATGCCCCTTCCAGTATTTACACAAAATGACTTCAGACATGCAAGTCAGTAAAATGTACAGCCGTGGTTATCTTCACTTCTGGGCTGGCAGTGATTTATGAGCCTAAGACTGAGCTATCTTCCCTAGAGTGATGTGACTTATTCACATGATCATACTTTCACTCTTCTCTATTCCTCTGTAGCAGGAAGAAAAATATCCTGTTGCCAAATTAATTATACCCTGAAAATGAGTCCCATCAAGCCCACAACTTGACTCATAGGTTCTAATACTGCTATAGAAATCAAACTAAATCTGAATTTTCCTAGAAAATCAAAATAGCCATAGATCAGTCACTCTCCAGAGGCAATGAGACAACCAGGTGAGAAGAGAATGTCTCCCACAACAGGATCTGCATCTGTAACAGGCTTGCTGAAAAGGGCCACCAGAGTCCAGCCAGATTCTCCCAGCTTAAAAGCAGGCTGAGTTTTCCAGGCTTCCCTAAAATGAATGGCCTTCAAACTCTTCTGTTTTCCGGTGTAGCTTTTCAGAAGGAAATGACTTTATCAAGACTGAATCTAGCTTTCCTGCCTCAAAGACAACCATCTCTTCTAACTCCCAGCACTTTAAGCATCTCCCCTTTCGGGTTGTAAGCGCTGAAAGACCACACTCGGCTTCTGGGGGCTGTCCTTGTGCCCCTTCACAGATGATCCCACAGGGAGGGCTGGCCCTGGCTGTGGCCTTTCTGAGGAGGGCACTACCTTCTATCCTAACTGGCAGGATACTCAGAACAATGAGCATCCACACACGGGTTTCTAACCTTTCTGGCACCACCCAATGCTGCGGTAAACTTGGCTAGTCTCTCCCCTTTTTCCCACCCTGCCATAGTTGGAGGGTCGGTGACCCCCTCATCTCCTGGGCCCCCTCCTCCCTTCTCATTCAAAATGGATTAAGGCCTCGAAGAGTATACCTTTCCTCACCTTTTGTCTCCAGTCCACCTGCTGCCTCTCTCAGCTTCAAAATCAGGCAAGGACCACGGAAACGCGCCACGAGGGCACTTAGAGGCCGGCAGAGGCGACCGCCCACCTGTCACTTGAACATCAGCGTCTCAC